AAAATGAATGATAAAATATGTAAGAATGTTTTGTGAGTGCATTCTTTTTTTCATAAAATTGTCATAATGTGCATAATTGAAAGGTGAAATCGAGGGCTGCCCAAATAGCTCAGCGGATTCAAGCGCCTGCTTAGGCAGATGCAGGGGCCGGGGGTTCAGTCCCCAGGCCTGCCGTGTGCTCCTCCCCCCCATGTGCTGAGATGTGATGGAGACTAGGCATAGTGGCATGCACCTGTAATCCCAGCATTTGGGAGGCTGTAAACAGGAGGATCATTACAGGCTCTGTAGTGAGACCTTGGAGGCCCTCTAATACCCTGTACCAAAAAAAAAAAGAAAGAAAAGGTGAAATCCAAGATAAAGATAATTTTAGAACTTTTCTTCATTTTAATGACAAAATCAAGAATGCCCTGGGACATATAATTTTTCTCATTTCTTTAGACATTTTGCATATTGAAATTTTGACATTACTAATATCAATAATCATTTAATATTTTGATAACTTCAATATTAATTTTTAATATTTACTACTATGTTACTATGTAATACATATGGAAAATATTTATATTAATGGGTATAAAATTATACCTGTGCTATAAGTATGTATATATAAAAATATATACATATCTGAAAAAATTGGAGGGGACATCAAATATAACATTTGTAGGATTATTACATATTTTAAATTTCCATTATTTCTTTATAGTAACAGATAAGTGTAAATGTGTATAGGATTACATATTTAATTAATATGTGTGTATAAAATAATCATAAAGCTGAGCACGATGGCTTACACCAGTCCCATCTATTCTGCAGGCTGAGACAGGAAGATCCCATGAGCCCAGGAGCTCAAGGCTAACTAGGCTGTGCAATATAGCAAGACCCGATCCAAAAATTATTTTCAAGTTCACTAAATAAAATATCCATGTTAAAAATATTTGCCAGTGTTTTTATCTAAAGCCATCATAGCCTTTGAATATTTTGTTTTTCCAGTATTGTTTCTCTAAAGCAATCTTGTGAGGGGACATTGATGTTTTTGCAATGTGAAAATCATGTGTTGGCTTTTCAGAGTCACCTTATTACTCTAAGCCAAGGAAAGTGACATCCTGGAGATCTGCAAGGACCTCGGGGAGCATGCCTCTGAGCAGTAGGATGTCCCTAACCCCACAGAAGCTGTGGCTGGGAACTTCAAAGCAAGGTGTGTGGCAGAGTGCTGGGAATGCCAGGGTGGAGCTTGAGATGACAGAGGTTCTAGCGTTGTCTGTTGGAGTGATGTTGTCTGTTTTCTTCTCAAAGCCCCTGAGTGCATGTGTCACTGTCTTCGAAGTGTGCTCTCTCTGGTTCTGTCCAGGACCCTGGAACTGCCCCTGGCTCAGGCTGTCTTGGTGCTGTACAGTGGCATGTTGAGTGTTGGAGCAGTGTCTTCAGGAGCCACCTGTTACATTTTTAGGAGTTTCCTGGGCTGTTTAGTGTCCACGAGCAACTGATACGGGGAAGGTTGAGGTCAGGCAGCACCTCCCAGTGTGTTTGCTGTGCCATCATATTTAGTAATTGTACCTTCATGCTAAGAATCCTGCCCAGCCCATGAGCTCTACCCTCACCCCAGAAAAGGCAGGGGGCCACCCCACCAGCGCCCTGACTCCCTGACAGCCTGTGAGAATGGAGAGGTTCAGCTTCAGGTGTCCTGCCAACAAGTGTGTGAACATGCTGCTGTGACAGGGAGGGAAGAGTTCTGGATGGAGCTGGCCTTTGCCAGAGTGAGACTGCTGGCTTCGTGCGCGAGCTCCGTCCCTGGGGCATTTGGGAATGTTTTAAGGACAGTACCTCATGAAGGTCATTCTCCCCTCCCGGGAACTGACTTGTACAGCCAGGCTTCCGCTGTGCCAGGCTCCCTGAACTTTAGTATATGTAAATTCATTGTATAAGCAGTATGTGAAGCAAATACAAATTGCAGGTAATAATCTAAAGCCTGAATCCCACCAAAAAAAACTGGTGTGATTTACATTTCTGTCTATGTGTTCTGCTGGCTTCTCTTGTGGGCCTCTTTAAGGCCAGGTAGTTTCATTTGTATTTCACTGTACCTCCTGAGCTGATTTCACCAGCTAAGAGTTATATTTTGGGCTTAAACAGTTTATATTCCTCATATAGTAGGTGTTTCATTAAAACCAAGTAAAGCTATCCTGTATTAGAATGGATGTTGATGCTATGTAGATTTATCTTTGATTTCTTTTTATTTGCTGTGTGAAATCTAAGCATATCACAGTCCTTGTGATTCCTTTTAGTCCTTTTACATAACAAAACCAGAAGTTTGAGTAACTTCCATGTATTCTTCAAGGTATAGCTAGGAACTCTTTTTCTTTTCAATGATCTCATAAAAGGCTTGTATGTCATCCTCTAGGTCACATCCCTGGGACTACTGTATACAGAGAGAAAGAAGACATGTATGATGAGATTATCGAGTTGAAGAAGGTAATGGTTCACCTGCTCTTTGGTGACTTAGCAGCAGTAACCTTCTGTAGTAGTGGGCTGCAAATCAGTATCAGGACAGCAATACCCTTCTGTAACAGTGGACTGCACATGGGTGTCAGTTCTGGGCCATGTCTGTATGGAATGGTGTGAGCACTGTCACCCAGAGCCTGTGCCCTAGTGTCATGCCTTAGGAGCTGGGCCGGCCTAGCTGCACGAAGGCTGTTCATGCAGCAGAGTTTTAGGTAGCTCCGACTGTGTGCAGTCACCAAAGTTGAGATTCTGTGCTCTCATATAGTAAGATGGAAAGGACTGGGTAAGGAGTTGTGTCACTTCAGAGTCCCCACATCCTGGCATTTGGTGTTGTCATAAGGGCTTTGGTACAGAATCATAGCCTTCTAGTCATGTTATGGCAACATTCCACACACCTGTCCTGTCTAGCTCTTCAGAAGCTGTGTGAGATGGATGGGCCGGCTGGCACAGCTGTCATCTGTACCTGAGACTTGGAGAGGTTATTCTGCCCACAGTTTAGCCAGTAGCACAACCAGGATTCATTCATTGCCTCTTAACATGATTGGCGTAGAGAAACATCACCAACACCATTACTACACTGACTTTTCCCCTGCTCTTTCTTTCCTCTTCCCTTCCCTCTCTTCCCTCCCCTCTTCCCTTCTTTCTTTTTATACTGGGAATTGAACCCCAAGCATTCATGCTGAACTACAGTATATCCCCAACCTCTTTTTTTTTTTCTTTTTAAATTTTGAGAGATATCAATAAGTTGCCTAGTGTGGGCTCAAACTTGTGGTTTTCCAGGCTCAGCCTCTAGAGTGCTAGGATTACAGAGGTGCACCACCACACCCAGCTTCACACTGGTTCTTCATGTGCATGTGTGTGTATGTATTCATACCCCTGGAGAAATCTAGGTCCTGTCCTCAGTTTCAGTCTGCTTATAAACCTGCCATCACTTAGTTGAGCTGCATCTATAGGGCCACTCAGGCAGGCACCAGAGTGGAAGCAGGGCCCAGGCTTGGGGAGGAGTCTGGACGCTCCCAATCTGAGCAGCGCAGCCCCGGTAGGCTGTCGTGAGAAGAGCTTCCTGCCCATGAGAGCCATCCAGCTATGAGAGGGCTGCCAGGGAGGACGCACCAGCCCTGTCCTTGGTGTTTCCAGCAGCAGCAGGTGGGCTATTAGGCAGGGCATCATAGAAACCGTTCCCTTTTGGTCAAAGATGGTACCAAATGGACCCTGAGCCCCCAAAAGCTGACTTATCACCATTACAGTACTCCTGGGAGAAATCCTCTAGAAATAGATCTCAGGGAAAATGGTATGAACTTTTTATACTTGCTCTTGTGGGTCTGTGGATAAAATCAGCCTGGATTCCAAATTCACACAGAATAGACTGGGTTTTTAGTACTCTGTTCTTGGGGATCTCGAACATTAGCATTATTTTAGCTACAACTCCTCAGTTTCCTGTTTAAAACTGGGAATGGGAGTTGGAGTGTATTTACTAAGAGAGTGCTAGCCCAGTATATGTGAGGCCCTGGGTTCAAACCCTAGCCAAAAGATCATACCAGTTGGATAGCCCTGTCGTGACACTACAGTAAAATAAATCCATGAAAGTATTCACCATAGTATCTCATATACAGTGATTGTTTTTTGTTTTTTTTTTTTCCAAGATAGGTTATCACTATGTAGCCCAAGATGGTCTTAAACACATGATGATCTTCTTGGCTCAGCTCCCGAGTGCTAGGATTTTAGGCTTGAGCCACCACCCTTGGCACCACTGGCCAGTTTTTTAAAACTTACTTGCAAAACAGATATTCTTCACTTAACTACCTAACAATTTAATAACTTTAGGACTTAAACCTGCATTTGGACTTACAGAACAGTAGCGTGAGCAGCAGTGGGCCTTATGGTGACTTCCTCTACAGTGCCATACTGTAATAATTGTTGCTGATTGTACCATACAGTATTGTAGATTTATATTCTAGTATACTGTACATTAGAGTATTGTGTGTAAGAGTTAAGCAAATAAAAGCAAGGTCACCAAGTTAGTATTTCCTTTGACCATCTCTTCATTCTGAATAGTGTAATGTATATACCATATACATTTCCTTATTTAGTGGCCAATCTAATTAATGAGCTAATTACAGGACCATGACTTGGTCATTAAACAAGGGATAGTCTTGAATTAGATTCAAGAACATTGTGAAGGTAGTATAGCGGGGTCCTAGGTACCCCTCTTCACCCCGAGCAGTGTCGCCAGAAGACTGTCCTTGGTCCAGTGTGTGCGTGTGCTTCTCTAACAGCATAGGTATAGACTGGTGCACCTCCATACTGTGGGAACAAGCTGCCTAGCAGCCCACAGCAGTCCCCGTGCTCCTCCCACTTCTCAGTGTCCCTGCCCCGACCACCATGATCTTTTCCTTGTCTCTGTGGCCATTCTCTATTTTATTATTTATTTATTTATTTATTTATTGTGTGTGTGTGTGTGTGTGTGTGTGTGTGGCCAGCTCAGCCCACCAGGGGGCAGGCTGGCTGGCATGTGGTGCTGGAGGATTGAACCGTGGTCCCTGGGCTTTGGGCTTCGCTAAGCTTGTTCTAAGTAGGTGCTTTAGACCACTGAGCCATCTCACCAGCCCTCTGTGGCCATTCTCTAATGTGCAACTGGGATCACAAAGCATTTGGCCTTTCCAGACCACTGTCCCCTCAGTGCAGCCCTGGAGGCCCCTGGAGGTGCTAGTGGGCTGATGGCCCTTTCTACTTGGCACAGTTCTCACTGTATGCTTCTCATAGTGACAGACTTTTTTTTTTAAATAAGACTGTGATATTTTTATATATTGTCATTTTCATTCAGGCCAGTGTATTTTTTAAAACTTTCTCTTGAGACTCCCTGAGATGTGCTTGGATTATTTGGCACTGGGTAGTTTAGTTTTCAGGGTTTGGAGGTTTGCCTATGATTTTTTTGTTGTGGTTTCAGTTTGAGTGTGCTGTGGCTGTAAAACATTCTATTTCATTCTTCTGCACTTATCAAGGCTTCCTTCTGGTTCCAATGTGACCCAGCTGTTTACAAGAACTGGGTCCCTATTGGTGGCCATGGTGGTGGACATTGCTAGAAGCCCTCTTCCTCCTCCTCTGGCCTTACTGATGTTGCCTCATGTTTTATTCTGTTGGGGTATGTGTGTGTGTGTGTGTGTGTGTGTGTGTGTGTGTGTGTGTTTAAGACAGGGTTTCACTATGCAGTTCAGGCTGGCCTTGAACGTCTTTGTCATCCCACTGGCTTAAAAGTCTCAGTGATCCTTCTGCCTCAACCTCCTGAGTGCTGGGATTACAGACACATGGCCACCATGCCCAGCCACTGCATGGAGAGAGAGGTATAAAGGTTCTGCTACCATTGTGCGCTGATACATTTCCTTCATATCAGGTTCTGCCCTGTGGGCTGCTGGCTTCTAAGAGGCTTCGAGGGGCTCTGTCTCCTGGGTGGATAGATTTTTTAAAAGTGGTGCTGGGGATTGTACTCAGGGCCTTCACACTGGAACTACATCTCCAGCCACTTTTACCTTACGAAAGGATCTTACTAAATTGTTAAGCTATCCAGGATGAACTCAAACTTGTGATCCTTCTGCTTTAGCCTTCCAGAGTGCTGGGATTACCGGTGTAGCCCACTATGCCTTGTGGATGGATTCTTTTTAAAACATTATATATAAGGTCCCTGCCTCTGGTGTCTTTCTATTCTTCAAAGTCCACTTTATCTGATAGTAACTTCTCCATTCCCACTTTAATTAATGTTTACATGGTATATCTTCTTCCATTCTGTTCCTTTCAACATACCCTTTCATTATGTTTGAAACAAGTTTCTTATCGTTATCATTATGTACTCTGTCAATCTTTTAATTGGTTTGTTTAGGTCATTTATAAACAACATAATTATTGATATGTTAAGATATGTCTCCCATTTTCTGTTCTTCCTGTATTATATTTCTCTTTTGTTTTTCTGCCTCCTGTAATTTATTTGAGCATTTTTTAGAATTCCATTTTTGTTTAGTTGAAGTCTTTCAGTGTGTCTTTATACAAGGGATGATCAAAAAAGTGGAGAATGTTAAGAGTATCACATGAAAGAGGACTTCTGCAGCTGCTTCCGAAAGTGGCAAGAATGATAGGATAAGTGTGGCTGAAGTGAGGGGGAGTATTTTGAGGGGTATTAATGGCAGTGTGTCTTTTACTGTAATAATTTTCAAAATGTGAACACCTACCTTATTTTTCACTCATACCTCATACATTGTGTGGTCACACAAATGGGCGTGTGTGAGTGGTGCTTTTCTTCTCCAGTCATTACACACACAGAAAAGTGACGTGGACCTGATGAGAACAAAACTCCGGCGCATGGAGGAGGAGAATAACAGAAAAGACCGGCAGATAGAACAGCTCTTGGATCCAGGACGAGTGAGCACCTGGCCCCGAGGGGGTTCCGGCCTGGGGCTCCTACGTGGCAGGGAGCAGGCTGAACCACATGATCTGCTCCCACAGGGCCCAGACTTTATTCGCACACTGGCAGAGAAAAGACCTGACACCGGTTGGGTGAGTAATCTCCAGCTGCAGAAAGCCCTCCTTAGAGTGTAGTTAGAGACAGCAACATACTGAAGGGATAACACCTTCCCAGAGCACTTGCATGGGAGGACAGGAAAGCAGTGGGCAGAGAACTTTCCAGAAACATCCTCCATAAAGCCCTAGGGATCTCAGAAAAATGACTGAGACTTGGTCAAGGCACATGGCATGGGGATACTAGGCTTACACTATGCAGGCCAGAAAATAAACTAAACTATAGAAAAAAGTCACAATGTCATCTTCCCCATCATGTCCCCAGACATACCTCCACGTCACATGGGTTTCTGAGCCAAGACATAGGAACCAAGCAGCGGCAGAGCACAGTCCTTAAAATAGATGTAAACAGGGCCTGGGAGATGGCTCAGTGGAATAAGTGCTTGCCTAGCAAGTGCAAGGGCCTGAGTTCAATCCCCAGTTCCGCCAAAAAAAAAAAAAAGATGTAAATAACTCTCATGTTACGTAATGATAATATTAAACAAATTGAATGAAATAAAATGGGAGAGATGGAATAATTCTTTGGTTAATGTTACTGCAGTAAACTAGTATCTGGAGAAGGTGTATCACAAAGCTAAAATTAGGGGCCGAGGAGATGGCTCAGTAGAATAAGTGCTTGCCTGGCAAGCGCTAGGGCCTGCGTTAAATCCCTGGTTCTGCAAAAAAAGAAAAAGAAAAAGCTAAAATTAGAATGGATACAATTTTGAGATCATTGAATACAAAAAAAGATGTAATTAATACATTTGGTAACAAAATTAAAATTTGTATAGCAACCTGGAAGACTAAGGTGGAAATAGGTAATATTATAATGAGTGGATGGGAAGATATTATTGACCAATACATTGTTTTATACTCCAGGATATGCAAAAAGCTCTATATAAATCTCTAAGAAATGAAATATACTCTGAAATATAACAATATATATGTCATATAGAAATATCGATGTAACATAAATGGTTAAAACCCAGTTCTCTGGGTGGGACAGATGAATACTTAATTCACAAATGTTTGTGAATTAATGTTTCACCAGAAAAAAAAAATTAGAGAACAGCAAATTGTTCCACAGTGATTCATTCTGCACAGGTATGTGATTTTGATTTCTTGTAATAGAAGGACTCCAATTCCTATTTTTTAAAATCATAAACTGAGGCAAGTGGTTTTCCTGACCTGGGACCCCAGCTGCTCAGACCTGGAAGGCAAAGATGGTGTCTTTTGGCCCTGTCATCTCACTAGCACCCCATCCTTGAGGGAAGAAATGATTTTAAATTACTCTGAATAAAGCCTCACACCATGAACAAGCACACGATCCAAGCCAGTGTTGGCAGGGCTGAGGAAAGCAGGTGCGCTCTGAGCTCAGATGCTACCTCTGCGAAGTGATGTGTAGTCATGTCTGCCCCTGCCTAGCACAGCTTCCTGTTAGGACTGTCTCTCAGGAGCGTAATCCAGTGTGATTTGCCTCCAGCCTAAGCAATTTAGCAACCAAGACCCTCAAAAGAAAAAAAAGAAAGAAAAAAAGAGAAAGGCCTGGGTATGTGTGATCTCCCAAAAGGATTAGCGGAGAAGGAAGGAATGAGGCTGGGGGAGTGGGCCTTCCTTCCCCAGTAGGTGGGGCTCTGGGGCCCCTCCAGGCTGCTATCCTGACTCCAGGTAGACTTGCCTTGGGGTGGGGGACCGTGAAGGTCACTGGTTTTTATTTCTAGGTTGTGATGGGTTCCCTTGTATAACACAAGTGAGGCCAGTTCCCACCAATTCTCTGAGCGCCCACCAGCTTGGGGTGCCATTGGTTACTACCTTCCTGCCCCAGTGGGGTGTCCTGCCCTCCTTGCCCCTCACTCACCCTCCTGAAGTGAATGAGCAAATCCCAGCTCCCTAATCATTGCCAAACCTGTGGCCTGGAAGAGAAAGCAGGGAGTATCTGAGGTGGAAAGGACAGAGGCTGGGCCCACAGCGAGGAAGCACCGAGGGCTGTGGGGCTGGGCAGAGGTGGCTGAGGTGGTGGCCTTCTGTACTAGGTCATCAATGGGCTGAGACAGAGGATCTTCCGGCTGGAGCAGCAATGCAAGGAGAAGGACAGTGCCATCAAGTACGGAGCAGCTGCCAGGCAGTCTCAGTGGGAGGGTTTAGGGCCCAGGACTGTGGGAGAGGCACTCCACCCACTTAACAGTCCCCTTTCTGCTCTGGTGCTTGTCCCACCTCTGCTTCCCCCAGCCAACCTCTGTGCACAGTCCCGCTCCCACCCATAGCAAGGGAAGTATTACTTACTAGCTCTCTGTCTCTGTCTCTTGTTTTTGTTTTTAATCTACATTTCCTTTAATGTCATTAGGGAATAGTATTTCCTTTTCCCTTTTTCTTCTTATATTTAAGGAATATGTTTTCTCAGTATTTCTAGGCCACTTTGTATCTCTGATGTAGATTTTCTAGGTTTTGGTGAGGCAAGCCTTTGATACCCAGATGTTGCTCCTGGCTGCCTCTCATATGGTTTTTTTGTTTGTTTGTTTGTGGAACCGGGGATTGAACTCAGGCCCTTGCACTTGCCAGGTTTACTGAGCCATCTCCCCGACCCCCTTTCATATGGTTTTGGTGGTGTTCCCCATACTTTACCTGTCTGTCTCTGTGTCTGTCTTGTTAGTGCAAAGGGATAGTCTTGCTTAGCTGTACTTGTTTATTTAAGGAAAACTTGTCTGTGCTTCATCTCTTACACAATAGTTCCCCCTCCCATTTGTTTCTTGCTGAAATTTGGCAACTTAAAATTTTTGCATTTATTTGTTAATTCCTTGAGTGTTTCAGAATGCTCAGCTCTTCTTCTCAGTGCCTTTTGCCTGAAGCCTGTGATAGGCAGAGAACAAGGTGACAGAGTGACAGGTTGAAGGGAGATAGTGATCTCCTAATAAGCTAGTTTTTCTCCCTTCCTACTCAAAGGTAATGTGTGAGCCCTGAAGACCCAGTGTTGGGGCTGCACCTTTGATCCAAGTTTCTAAAGTAGGGGCTTTGGAGGAGATTGTCTCTATGAAGCCTTAGGAAGTGGCTGGTCTCACCCAGGAAGGATGCTTTCGGTGTGAGGAATTCCCCCATCAGTTTGGAAACTTGCCATTCATTCAAGGCCAAAGCCACCATAGGGCTCACTCAAGGCAGTCCTTCCTCACTGGGTCCTGTGCCAAAGCCATCCCAGCTGGGCTGTTCTGGGAGTCGCGCTTTCCCCCGCTCACTGTGGGTGTGATGACGTTGTCCTGCTGACTCTGAACCTGCGTCCCCAGCAAACTGCAGATGGACATGAAGACCACCAACCTGGAGGAGATGAGGATTGCCATGGAGACCTACTATGAGGAGGTGTGCATGGAGGGGCAGGTGGCCGGGGGCATGAGAGGCGACCCTGCTGCCGCCCAGGGTTCAGCTTAGACCAGCACTGGCCCACACCAGTGCTCCTGGTCAGCTTGACATGAAGAGAAACAGCTGTAGCTTTTTCTGACTTCTGGCATGGGACAGGGATCAGAACTCTGCCCACAGCTCTCAAGCCAAGACCACTAGCATGTTCGTTTGTATCTTTAATGTTTTCTAATTTGGTACTTGCAGATCCATCGTCTCCAGACTCTCTTGGCAAGTTCTGAAAGCACAGGAAAGAAGTATGCTGTTTGGTACCATGTTGTCCTTGTGTTATGGAGTCACTCTGAGGTCAGGGTACCCGTCACTCGGGAAGGGCATCTCCTGCCCTCATGTGACTGCAGAGCTGACACTACATCTGTGTGCTGATGGGTGATGTCTAGTTTGCACTCTGGTGTTCGCCCCGAGCCCTCATAACTGCCACACACTCAGTGCTACATGCATTAGTGACCCTGCTACACAGCCTTCTCTGGCTCATGACTGGAAGTGCTGCCTGTCAACCCAGATCTACCTTACTAAGATGTGTGCTACAAATCCATTTTGCCACTTAAACTTTTCCCAGACAAGTTTGTTGGAGGCATCGAGGTTCTCCTTATCACATAGATTCCCCTATCCTTTCCCAAACAATTTAATGAAACAGGCTTTCATTAAATTACAGGAGAAGGGCTGGCCAAATAGCTCAGTAGATTAAAGCACCTGCTTAGGCAGATGCAAGGGCCAGGAGTTCAATCCCAGGGCCTGCTGTGCTGGCCCCACAGGGCATATTGAGACTGTGATTGAGACTGGTCGTGGTGGTGTGTGCCTGTAATCCCAGCACTTGGGAGGCTGTAAACAGGAGGATCACTACAAGTCCAGTCTACACAGTGAGACCCTATAGGCCCTGTCCTAAAATACAAAAATAAATAAATTACAGGAGAATGGTCGCATATCATAGACATGGCCATTCCTCTGATCTCTGTAGCAGGCTGCTGGCACTTGGGGGTCCACACTGCCTGGCATGGTCTTCCTTTTTCCCTTCAGCCATCATGGCTTAAAACAGATTGGAAATGGCTAGATAGTAAATAGAGTTGGACCTCATGGTTGTCCAAACGAAGAGTTTCAGTTATGTCTGCTAGAGCAGGGCTGCTTTGTCTGAGCAACTCAAGGGACAGAGTTGGCATTTCCTGAGGGTGGGGAGTAGGGTTGGGGCATCCTGGGGAGAGGGTAAGCCACAGAAGCCTGGGCTGCAGAGCTGGACATACTGGTCATTCGTGGACACTGAGTCAGTGATGCTGGATCAGGACTCCTGGGGGTGTAGGCGTAGGCTTCTCTAAACCTCTGATCAGGTTTTCACCATAATCAGACAACATGTGGTCCCACGAACATTTTGGTTTAGAGATGTTGAAGGCACATGGTTGATTCCTTAGCACTGAGATGCAGCAGCGCTGTACTCAGAGATACAGTGTTCTCCATGGGCTACCTTACAGCATGGAGACACTACACAGTGCTTCAGCCCCGCCCTGTGGGCCGCTTTAAACGGTGACATCACCAGCACACAGCACAAACATGGGTGACAGATCTTTTACACTAAGTAAACCATAGAAAGTACATGTTTTGAGTCTGAGAACCTTAGCTGGGAGTATACATCAGAATTCCAATCCTCTGTTCCCATGTGTGGGTACCTTTGACATCCAGGAGTACTGGTTTTGAGTTTGCAGGTAAATCTTAAGGAATAAGCAAATTGACAAAGGCGTACTGTTCTCCACATAATGAAGACTGCCTGTATTTTTTTTTTAAGGGAAGGGTTTACAGGGTGTTCAGGGTCTCACTACTAGATTAGACTCAGTGATTCTCCTGTTTACAGCCTCCCAAGTGCTGGGATTACAGGCACACTCCACCATGCCCAGTCTCAATCACTGTTTCAGCGCGCCCTGGGGACAGGGCCAGCATGGCAGGCCAGGGGATGGAACCCCAAGCCCCTGCGCCTGCTTGCAGGTGCTTTAATCTGCTGAGCTATTTAACTGAACCTAAGACTGCCTATATTTTCGACCTCATGGGATAAGAGGCAAAATCAAAGCTATTATACCAGTATTTATATTACAAAAAAAAGTTTGCATAAAATTTTAGTGGTGGCATCTAAAATATGATACTAATAATTGAGTGCTACATTTTGTTATGCAGGCTTCTAGTAATAAGAATGAAATCCTATTATGGGTTAACTTTTGCTGACTTGAGGTTTAGAGTTAGCAGCTCAGCTCTTTGTGGTTGTTCCCAGGCCTCTGGTGGAGAAGAAGGTGGGTGTGAAGAGGCAGAAGAAGATGAGCAGTGCCCTCCTGAACCTGTCCCGGAGCATTCAGGAGCTGACTGAAGAGAACCAGAGCTTGAAGGAGGACCTAGACCGCGTGCTCAGCAACTCCCCAACCATCACCAGAGTGAAGGGTATTTCCCCCCCCCCCAAAAAAGGCAGGGAAGGTGCATGGTGGCTGTCCCAGGGGAGTCCTGGGCAGGCCCTGCAAGCCAGTGCAATGGGTGTGTTAGCATTGCTGTGAGTGTGTCAGCCACCCTTCTTGCACCTGCAAAGCCCTGAGTTCCTCTGCTTCACAGCCAACTGTCTCAATAGGGACATTAGCGCATTCCATTAGTAGCAGTGACTCCAAAATGTAGCCGGCACTGCTGTGTGTAGATTGGCTCTAGGCCCTGGAGTTATATAGCAACGGGTGAAAATTCCAGTATGCCTGGAAGACACTGATGTGAGGAGGGAAGAGGGTTAGCAGGTTCCTCAGGGAAAGGTGGGTGAGGGCAGATGGCAGTGGGGCTCTACCACTGACAGTATTGGAGGGAGGCCTCCCCAAGTCATTAGCAGCTGGCCATGACCTGGAAATGCCAATGGTTAGCCTACAGGCACCTGGGACTGTTGGGGCACCAGCACATATAGAAGCCCAGGGCAGAGGCCAATGTAGCTCCTCACCTCAGCCCTGGGAGTGCTGCTGGCTGAGGGAAAGCTGAACAGGGCCCTGGCTCCTTCAGGGAAGGATAGGCAGAAAGGGAGCACTGTTGTGATGAGGGTGAGGGTGGGAGAGGAGGTCAGATTCTGGTGCATCTTGAAGGCAGAATCTATGGAAAAACAGAGACAGTGTGTATCCTGAAAGAGAGAGGGCCTCAGTGCCAGGGTCTTAACTCTGAGCAACCCAAAGGACAGAGCTGACATTTTCTGAAGGTGGGGAGGAGACACAGGGTGGCCTGGACGAGTGGAGGGCTTGGTGGGCATAAGCCTGGGCCGCAGAGCTGGATGTGCTGGCACCCAGTGAGGTTGTAGGGTGGTGTGTGACCAGGTGGAGGAGCAGAGAGTCCAAACCAGGGGTATCTAGAAGGTTGAAAGGTAAGGGTGAGCCCGTAAAGCAGAGTGGGCATTGAGGGGATTCAAGAGGCAGAGGCCAGAAATGAGGACAGATAAGCAGACTGTGGGTTTGGCAAGGTGAAAAGTCACCTGTGATATTGGCAGCAGTAATGTTCTGGTGGGGTAAAACCTAATAGGTGTGGAATTGGGGAAGGGTGTTACCCTAAGACATTAGCATCAGTAACTTTACAACCAAGGAGAATAGAAAAAACACCCAATGATGCACAAACCCTTAGGTGTAGGTATCCATTGGTCTCACTGATCGGTTCTACCCAGAGACGCAGTGGCAGGAATGAGAAAGATAGACAAGAAGACAAACTGGGCTAGGTGGTCACTAGTCTGCCTGATAGGCAAGACTAACTCAAGCACAACAAAAGGATCCTTTATGTATAATTTTGCAAAGTTAGCGACACATAACACAAGGTTACGTAGCGACTAATAGCTGACCTTAACAAGACGGGATGTTTATCCCTGGACTGAGGTAACTTGTTTGCGTTAGGCACTGGGGCCTAGTCCCACCTACACACATTTGATCATTTCCTAGCCTCCTGCAGCTCCCAACACTGAGGTGCCAAGGATCTGCCTAGCATGGCCTTGTGGCTTTGCTGACAGTCTGTGCAAGGGAATACCATCAGACTGGTGCTGAAAAGGCTGGTCTGGGCCATAGGGTGCCCGTCAGATGGGCACTGTACAGACCTGTTGCTTCCCTCAGGTTACATGGACTGGAGCAAGCCTCGGCTGCTGAGACGCATTGCAGAGCTAGAAAAGGTGAGTGGGCTTCTGTGCCATCTGTCACTCGGGACTTGCCTGTCTGATCTGGTTGGAGAAACACTCTCAAGTAACACAGGCATACCCAACAGATGGATTGAAGCTATCTAGCAGATAACAGAAAGTGTATCACTAAAAGTGTAGGCCTGAGGGGTACACTGTTCACGACCCCCGCTTTACGGATAGCCAGGTCATAGTCACACAGTACACATCGTGGGGCTTCTCCATGCATCTGTAGGTGGCCATGTGTGACCCAAGTGTTCCACTGCCCAGACTGCTCACCAGACTCCTCCCCACTCAGGTACTGTGGAATTCACAGGAAGCTGTCCTCCCACACTCTGCTTACCCGAGCATGTGGGAAGTTAGCGTTTCCTTCCATCCCCAGGCTGAACGGTTCCTCTGTCTTGCTGGAACTGGTCCTGCTGGAACCAGTCCTTCCTGTTGGAACTAGTGTGGCTTTTAGCAAAGCAGAGAAAGCATCAAGGGAGGGTATTTTAAATAAGTTCACTTATTTACAAAGAAAACAAAAGAGATTATACACACTGGGTATTAATAAGCAAAGTTTGCTGGATGCTATAGGGAGCCAAAGCAAGCCCAGAAGTCCCCTGAGAGAGCTGCTGCAGCCAGTCACTTTGCTAGCAGGAAGGGAACAGTTTAAGGTAGAAAGCAAAAAGGTTGGAAGTTTCAGAAGCTCTAGGGAGCTGAGAGCAAATAAGCACACAGATCCTCCTAGTGCATGCAACCCCCTGGCTCCACCTGCTTTCTACTGCCTTGTCCCTGCCTTGTCCCCTTGGCCATAGTCTCATTGTCCCACTTCCAATTCCAAACTGCAGGGACTTGTGCCTGCACAGTAGACTGTACCAGCCAACTTAGGACATATGGCAAAGCAGCTCCTGAGGCTGGAGACTGGTTTTCCATGGTCCTATTCTGTGTTTCACAATGGAATGTAGAAGCAAAAATAATATCTAACAAATATCTGTGTTACCTCCAGAAACTAAATTCGATGGAGAGCTCAAAACTGAATGCTTCAGAGCTGGCCAAGTCGAATCCCAACAGCATGGCACCCAAGCAGCTGGGATGGGACAGGCAGGAGGAACAAGAGCACCTTCGGGGGACAGTGAAGAGCCTGAGGGGAGAGCGGAACGAGCTAGAGGCCCAGCTGCTAGAAAAAGAGTAGGTGCCTAGGTGCTGCTGTGTCCGGGCTGAACTTCTGTCCTAGATGTGAGGAAGTGCTCTATGCATAGTAATTATTGCATAAATGCTTTCTAGGACTCTATGAGATGTGATTGAAAAATATATTGTGTGTTTAAAAAAAATTTTAACATTGCCCCGAGTGCCCCTCAAACTGCAATGTTTCTTTAAACACACCTATCCCATGGCTCTTGCCACAGTTCTGGAAGTCCGGTTTTGTGTCTTTATTCATGGCTTCCTTGACATCCTGAATTGATTGAAGATGTTTGCCTTTTGATCATTTTGCCTTTGGGGAAGTCACCCAGGGCCAGATCTGGTGAATAAGGTAGACGAGGGTGCATGGTCACATTTTTACAGCCCTCTTTTCCATTGGATGGTATGTGGCAGCAGATTGAGCACATTTTAACCACACTGCGTGGTGGTTAAAGACACTTATAAAGAAGACTTCCACAACTGCCTCAGAAAGTGGCAGGAGCAATGGAATAAGTGTGCTCAAAGCCGTGGGGTCTGGGGTCTTCGATGGGTGTTCATAGCAGTGTGTCTCTTACTATAACAAATATTTTTAGAACTTAAACATTCACTGTATTTTGTGTTACTCTCCATACACTTGTTAGATTTATGTTATGGAATAAAAGCTGTGCTGGTGGCGAAAAGAAGACACTAAGTGGCCATATGACATCATTAACAGAGAGGGGTAGGTGGAGAGTACCATGAAAATCTCTACATGGAGTTCCAGAGGAATTTCCAGATTATTTCTTCAGGGGGAGGAGTTACTGCCTTGAATTTGTCTAAAAATCAGTTAGATCTTAGGCAGCGTGGTCTTGACATTGAGTCATGTATTTGTGGCCTATGATCTGTACATGAATGAGCCATACATGATGTAATATGCTTAGCATGACCTGGAGCTGGAGGCAGAGCCTCACCACATGATCTGCAGTTTCATGATCTGTTACTGGCTCAGCACAGGACCTGGCGCCTGCTTGCGCATGGCTTCTCTCGTCACAGCTCTGTTGTAAGCTAACCCACCCATCAGCTGAGATGGCATTTAATCTCAGCACTGCAAGACCATGGTGACCTTGCCGCTCAGAGTGGTCTGCAAAGGCAGGAGCACCAGCCCACCCAGGAGCTGATCGAGGATGGGGGCCACAGGTGCTTTCACACTTTCTGAATTGCCCCGTGTCACATGTCCCCAGCTGATGTGCATGCACATGGGTGTCTGAGGGCTCCTGGCTGCCTCCCAGCCCACTGTGGAACCTCTGGAACCTCTGTCCCCAGCAGAAGCAAACCCCTTCACACTCTTGTCCCCAACCTGCAGTGGTAGTCATGTGAACTATGATAGATTCTTTGTTTTTTGTTTTGGCAGAACCGGGGATTGAACTCTGGCCCTTGCGCTTGCCAGGGAAGTGCTTATTCTACTGAGCCATCTCCCCAGCCCAAGGATTTTTTTTTTCTCCGAATGCCTTCAGGGCAGGTTTGGCTGACTTGAGTTGTGGGGATCAAACCACAGCAACCTGAGCCTGACTGCTTTGTTGAAGCAGCCACTTAAAGAACTGAGCTAAGGGGCAGGCCCCCATATGATAGGTTCTTTGTAACACTATTTCATGGAGTTTTTAAAATGAAGATAGTGGTTTTGAAACATAACCCCTAGGCTTATCTGTTAAGCTATCACATGACCTAATAACTACAACATATGGAGTCCTTTTTATGTGATAGGCACTCTGCTACTCATTTCAAGGAATATCTAGTTTCCTGTGGACATTAGCAGGGCCTAGAAAAGTTGGGCCACATAGATTGTAGGCAGTGGATGTGCATTTGTGGCCACTGTGTCATTGTGGCATGTGAGGACTCAGCAAGAGATGCCTGGCTGCCCTCCCATGCTCAGGCCCAGCACTGGCAGCACCCCCGCCTGGAGTGCAGGACTGGTGTGTCCCTGCCACTGTGTCACTGGTGTTTCCATTTTTCCCTGCAACCATGAGGCCACAGAGTGAGACCTTGCTGCTTTTATATCCTAGCCTTGACAGGCCCTCATACACAGTGGTGTCTGTGTGCCCTTAGGACCTGGGGGCTGCTGGAGTGGCTTGCCCACCCCCGTCCACTGTCCTAAGGAAGGAAGTCGGCTGCTGTTGTGTTTTCAAGTGTCTTCCTGCCCTGACAGTTTCTGGTTCTAACAGTGCGGAAATGTCTGCTTCTGTGCATTCAGTAAGGAAGTGAGGCAGCTGCTGCAGGCCAAGGCTGAGCTGGAGAAGGAGCTGGAGAATGCAAGGGAAGGGCAGAAGCAGCAGCAGGAGCAAGAGTGGGCCTTGAAGTGAGTACCAAGCAGCAGAGATGACACACAACCCGAGCCCTCCCTGCCTCCTGGCCACCCGCCCCGTGGGTCCCTGCATAGTAGCTTCGAGAGAGGGTTTAGTAGAGACCACACCTCTTCCTGAGGTCTTTCAGTGTTTTTCTGCCTCTGGGATACACACCCAAGCCCTGTGAGAAAGCTTTTTGTATAAGCCAGTATTTGCCTCTGTGGCAAACCATCGTGGCCACCTCTGCTGCACGTCCAGTGCTACCGCTGTGTCATGCTCTCCCCCTCAGCAGCCTCTAAGCACCATGACTTTCACACCTTTGCTCCTTTGTGAGAGCAACAGTCACCAGAGCCAGGAAGGGCAGCACCTCCATGTCTATCCCTAGAGAATGGATGAGCAGCCTGAGGTCACCCACAAAAAAACAAGCCAGGGCCGATGCACTGTGCTCAGGGAAAGAGGCCAAGTGGGCCACACAGCGCGGGCCATATGTGGGATGTGGGCAGAGCAGGCAGAAACAAGGGCTGGCTGGGGGAAGAGGAGTGCTGGGAGTGTTCAGGATTCCCATCATCGTGGATATGCTGAAGACCACCTAATTATACATTTTAAAATAGTTTCGTTTTTGTCTTCCTGTAGTGTTAGGGGTCAAACCCTCATGCATGCTAGACAAATGCTTTATCCCTGAACCACACGCCCAGTCTTAAGATAATGATTTCATGTTGTGAATTGTACCTCACTTCACATTTTAAAACATGAAAAGAAGTCTGAGCAGAAATATGGAGCACTCAAAATAATCAGTAAGATACAGATGACTGTAATGAACAGAAAATATTTTATTTTCATTTCTGGAGAATCATGACTAAATTGTGTCAGGCTAGAATTAAAGTAAATCAGCAACATATGGAAAGAAATGGTTTTTACATTGGAATCCTTGGTAGGGCCACGTGTTGCATTCCCTCTGTTCCCTGGAGAGCTGGTTCTGTTGGTGAGGGGTACCCTGTAGGCCGAGGGCCAGGTTCCATCCTGCAACAGAAAAGCCCCACATGATACCTCCATTGATTGTGCAATGGGTTTTTTGTTGTTTGGTTTCTCACAGTGTTAGGAACCAAACCCAAGATGTTGCACATGCTATATGCAGTGACTATTTTTTCCGGCTCTGACAGCCAGCACAGTGCTGCCCTGGGGTCCTCAGCACCCTTTTCTGGGAACATTAAAGAGAACCATCCTGCAGCAGGTTACTGGTACCTCTGTAGCCCATCCAGCATCTGTCTGCACGGGGCTGCCAGTCTCACCGTGCAAAGGGCCATTGCTCACCTGGTGACAAGCCAAGTGTCATTGTTCCCCTTCTCATTTTAGAGAAGAAATCCAAACACTTAAGAGCAAGTGCCAAGAGCTGGAAGAATCCAAGAAAGAAGAGAAAAGTGCAGTCAGTTGTCCCTTAGAGATGACACATGAGGTAGGTATGTGTGGCCATGCTGCCTTTTCTCCTGTCTGGTGTGGTGCTCTTTTTTTTTTTTTTTTTTTTAATAATTTTATTGAGAAACAAATAGCAATGAGACAATTTCAAAACCGATTAGTAGGACAGTTTCAATAATTAATACATTGTATATTGTTGTCTTCTTAGTGGTTATTCATAGTACAAGATGCAGACATGATATCCTATCCACAAACACTATTAAAACAAATCTTTCGGGACCAGGAAGATAGCTTCATGGTCTAAGCACCTACCTAACAAACACAAGAACCCAGGTTTGATTCCCAGTACCACATGCTGTGCTGGCCCCATGCGCCAGGCTGGCCACGGAAACCAGATGTTGTGGCATACACCTGTGATCCCAGCACTGGGGAAGCTGAGACAACAGGATCAATTATGAGTCCAAGCTGTACAACAAGACCGTGTACCAAATAAATAGAAAATTTATAAAAAAAAAAGAACAAATCTTTTTTTTTTTTTTTTTTTTTTTTTTTTTCTCCAAATCTTTCTATTCACTGAATTAAGAGAAAGTACCTGTGTGGTACTCTTCTTGACCTGAAGGTGACAACCTAATCTCCTGTCATCATCATGGTCTGTTTCCGTAACTCAGGTGGGATATGTGGAAGTCTGGACCTGTTGACTGGCTTCCTAGATGGGGCATCTTCCTATATGCTCTGCCCTGGAGGTCGGGGGACCATTGGGGAAGGAGTAGAAACCCACAGAGGCACCACACCTTCTCTGGGTGGATGGGTGCTCCTGGGTGGAGCAGGGTGGTCTCCTCTAGGCTTGTCCCCAAGCTATAGCCTATGTGGTATAGGACTGTTTGGTTAGGATCTGGCAGCTGCCACTAAGGTGTGAGGCCTTATGGCTGTGAGGGTCCCCTGGCCCTTCTCTGTCCCAGGTGTCCCTGATGTCCCAGTGTTGCTTGGGCTTCAGTTCATTGTTTCTTCACTAATGTCTCTTCTCATGGATAAACTCTAGGGAGATAGCTCAGAGACATAAACACCTACCTGGCAAGTGTAAGGTTCCGAGTTCAATCCCAAGCCCCAGAACCAGGCATGATGGAGCATGCCTGTAATCCCAGCACTCAGGCAGTTGAGACAGGAGAATCTCTGCAAGTTGGAGACCAGCCTGGGGGCTACCAGGCCAGCCCAAACTGCATAGCAAGACCCTGTCTCAAAAAATTAAAATTAAAAATTAAATTAAAAATCTTATGGATGGACTTTTGATGGCAGGCATGACCTGACATCTGTATGAATGAAAGCAAATAATTTAGCTACTTAAATCCTGTGGCCACTGTCTGCCCCAGGAGGGTTGTCACTCAAAGCATGCTGTAGGTGAAATTGGTCAGGTCTGGGAGGGTCAGCAAGCACCCATGACATGGTAACTGGTCCTTTTTGCAGCTCTTGTGGCCCCTTCCCCACCCATGGTCTGAGCAGACCTGAACTGAGCCCGGCATGTGAGGTGTTGCTTCAGAAGGACCTGGCATTCAGCAGCAGGGGAGGACAAAGGAGATTACCCTTGATCCCCAGAAAATGGGCCCATGGGCTGCAAGGCCAAGTTCCCTGCCAGAGCTGACCCTAAGAAGATTTTGTTTTAAATCTGAAGCGCCTTCGTCTTCCAAGGCTGGCTAACTTAGCTAGATCCTAATTTGAAGGTCTCTTCATTCAACTCTTACACAAGAGCAAAAGGAAAACCAAAGGTTAGGGAATTTGGGAAAGCTGGTCTCATAATGAGTTACAAATTGGGACAACTGGGCCAGCAAGATAGCTCAGCAGACTAAGTGCCTGCTTAGGCAAGCACAGTGACCAGGGTTTGATCCCAGTACCACATGCCATGTCCACCCTGCCCCTGGGGCTCACTGAGCCGGCGAACAGTCTGGGCATAGTGGCACATGCCTGTAATCTCAGCACTGAGGAGGCTGAAAACAGGAGGATCACTTCAAGTCAGAGTTAAGCAGTATGACTGTACCAAATACAGAAAAATAAAAATTGGGATTAAACCATAGCACTGCCAGCTGGAGAGAACCCATGATCTCTGTGCAGAGGCCAGCAACTGCCATATGCCCAGCTGGCAGGTATGAGTGCCTCGCTCCTGGTCCCTTCTGGAAGGTGCTGTCGCTGCTCAGGGACCCATACCTGCTGCACTGTCCCCAGGGTTGTGTTTCTGGATAATGCTTTAAGTCAGAAGTCCCTAGCCCCTGGGCCATTAGGAACTGGGCTGCAGAGCAGGTGCTGGGTGGCAGACTGACTGCAAAGCCAGCAAAGCTCCATCTGTATTTACGGTCTGAGCGCTGCCTCCTGTCAAATCAGCGGCAGCATTAGATTCTCATAGGAGTAAGAAGCCTACTGCTAACTGCAGAGGATCTAGGTTATGTGCTCCTTATGAGGAAAATGTACAGTGTAATAGAAATAAAGTGCGGTGTAATATGCTTGAATCATCCCCAAGCTGCTAACTCCTACCCCTTCTGTGGAAAACTTGTCTTCCTATGAAACCAACCCCTGATGCCAAAAAGGTTGGGGACCCCTTCTGTAACTTCCCACTCAAAGTCATACTCTTAGGGGAAAAATGTTTATACAGACATCAGATTTGAAAAGAAAGACTATTTGCAGCGTCTGCCTGGCTGGTAAGGACTTCTGCCTGTCTTTGGCCCCTTCACAGGGGTTTTGCAGATCCAAGATGCCCCACAGAGTGTCTTCTGTGTCCCTGCTGACTCACGTGGCCACCTGGGAGGGGCAGCTCCTGGGTTGCACAGACCCTAAGAAGTTCTTTTTTTTTTTTTTTTCAGAACCAGGAATTGAACTCAGGCCCTTCCACTTGCCAGGGAAGCGATTATTCTACTGAGCCATCTCCCCGGCCCCCTAAGAAGTTCTTTTTCCAGGAACTGTGTCTCTCAGTGATTTTTCCACTTCTCCCCCAAAGATGCAGGAGATTTTCCTCAATATTTTTATTTTGGCATCTTCTTTACATAAGACCTTGGGATTTTGTGTTTCTGTACATGACAGAGCACAGGCAGGGGCTGCAGATGGTAACTTGTACTCTGCAGAGTCCGTCATGGGTGGGCATCACAGTCTTTTCTGAGAAATAGCTATGAACTCAGAAGCTCTTATTGCATGTGGCTCAGTGACGTGTGGTCATGTCCCTGCCAGCAGAATGCTGGACAGCCACTGATAAGAACAATGACATGGAGTGGTAGAATTCCCCCATCCCACCCCCACCCATTCAATTCCATTTGATTTTTTAAAAAAGTTATACTTAGAAATATGTCTGGAATTGACCAGCCTCATGGCACATGGTAGGTTGTCTGACTCCAGATGAGATATAGGTCTGAAAGCTTTTTCCATATATGCCGGGACTGTAACTACCTTTTTAACCTTCTTTCAATACTGTCTGAATTTTTCTCATAAAAAGCATCTCCTTCTCATCTCCTAGCTTGATTTTTTTTTTTCTTCTTATAAACATTCCGACTCGAGAAAAAGAAGAGTGGGTAAACTAGGAGGTCTCAGCATTGTCCTGAGGTGGGGTCATCAGCTCTCAGGATTCATTTGGGAATGATTTGCTGTGGGCTAGAGGGTGCATGAGAGCCTGTGTAAACTTGTAAGCCCCTATGTAAAGTAAAAAGAAAAGAACTTACAAGGGCTGGGGATGTAGCTTGGTAATAGAGTGACTGCTAACGTGCCTCCTGTGTCAGAGAATTTATATGCATATCAAAATTAGATTTTGTTTTGGGTTATTTTGTTTTGTTTTTGTCTTTTTGAGACAGGGTTTCTCCATGCAGTTTGGGCTGGCCCTGAACTCACTTTCTAGCCTAGGCTGGTCTTGAATTTGCAACAATCCTCCTGCCTCAGCCTCCTGAGTGCTGGGATTACAGGCATGTACCGCCACACCCAATTCAGATTTTGTTTTAACTATCTTCCAGCAGTTGTTGGAGTCAATACTGCTTTATCTTCTAAGCAGCCAAAACTTTTTTTGTTCACAAAAGCGTGAGCTTCATGTGACAGACTCTCATCTCTTTAGTGGGATGAAGATCTGAAAATGTGTTGAGGCACACCATGAGGCATTTCTGGGGTGACAGACTCGAGAGGAGGTGGCTTCATGTCAGCATGTGGACACAGGTCACTTAGAGATTCCTGGGAAGCCCAGGTGACAGTTGACCATGCTGTGTGCTCAGGGCTTGTCCCATCAGACAGGGTAAGGTCCACATACAGAGACACGAGTATCTCAAGGGGGACATCCATCCTCACATGCCCTCTGAAACCAGAGCAGGGCTGCCACCTGGGGTGGGGGAGCGTAGGGAGAGTAAGGCCCAGGACTTACTGTGACAGGACCAGGTGAATCACAGTACGTGGCTGAGCAGGCTACAGATTGACTGACCTACAGTCCCAATGGGCTCTGGGTCAGGTACATGGCCACAGATGATGGAGGGCAAGGGACACTAGCTTGGTGTGTGTGGATTAGAGTTGCCAGTTGGGGTGGAAGGGGGCTTGGTGAACATGTGTGGAAGGCTTCTCACAGGGGAGGCCTTCCTACCTCTAAGGAGTGGGCAGCCTGGGAAGGCCATCTCTCCAAGGCCAGCAAGGGCCCAGATGTCAGAGCACCTTCAAGTGCAGGAGAACCTTGGTCTCTCACTGGTCAACCTACTCTTCCAGTCCAAGCTGTCCACCTGCACCAGGCCTCTGGTGCTGTGGGCCATTGCTTGTTCCCCAGTGAGCTTATTGAAAAATACCCTTGTAAGGGCCAGCCGAATAGCTCAGTAGATTAAAGCACCTGTAAGCAGGAGCAGGGGCCAGGGGTTCGATCTCCAGGCCTGCTGTGCCAGCCCTGCCCCCAGGGCATGCTGAGAAGCCAATTTAGACTGGGTGTGGTGGCACGCACCTGTAATCCCAGCTCTTGGGAGGCTGTAAACAGGCAGATCACTACTAGTCAGGTCTAGTAGTGAGACCATGAATACCCTGTAGACCCTTCCCTAAAAAGAAATACAAAAAAAAAGAAAAAGAAAAGTACACTTGTAGATAATAAATTTAGACTAGTAAGTTGTAGGGATCAATGGTATTTCAGTGGTCACAGTAGCAATTCCTGCTTTTTTCTTCCTTACAAACCAAGCTAGAGCCAAGTTTGGGAGTGTACACCTGTAATCTCAGCATTTGGGAGGCTGAGGCAATAGGATCACAATGAGTGTGAGGCCAGCATAGGCTACATAGTGGGTTCAAAGATAGCCTGAACTACATAGTTTGACCTTGTCTAAAAAAAAAGACCAAGCTAATTTAGTCATGGTGCCACATGCCTATAATTCCAGCAGTTCAGGAGACTGATCCCAGAGGATCTAAAGTTCAAGGCAATTTGTGAGACCCTGTATCTAAACTAAAAAGAAAAAAAAACTAAAATGATTGGGTGTGTAGCTTGCTAGGGCAGTTGCCTAGCAAGCCTGAGGCCCTTGGTTCAATCCTTAATAGGGCACTGAAAAAAAAAAAAGCTTAGAAATATTTCACTTTTAGAGGGAGAGGGGGGTGCAAAAAAAAAAATATTTTGCTGTGAATCCTAGAAATCCTTCTTTCATGGTACAATATTAAACTTCTAATAACCCCAAGAAAAGACCATAGATGACAGGCAAGTCTTGAGTGTCACACTGGGATGAGGGTGTATGTGTGGCCCTCGAGTGGACACTGAAGTTCAGGAGAATGCTGCCAGCGCCAGGGGGATCCGACCTGCTTACTGAGGCTTTAGCCACATGCCCCGGAGAGCATGCCGGAGCATACTGTCCTCTGACTCTAGTCTTTCCTCACATACTTTCCATTTCCTGCAGGCCAGCAGAGCACCCTGCACGACCCCTCCAGGCAGCACAGCCTCGCAGCGAGACTCTGATTCTGAGGAGGAAGGCACCTCCTGGCCTCCCACCTGCACTGATGGGAGGAGAGAGGCAGCTGCCAGGACCCTGCAGGCCCGGTGGAAGGCCCGGGCACACACGGTGAGCTTCCCTAGCAGGCCAGCGCCTGCAGCAGTCATGTGTCCAGTGAGAAAGCAGGGGCTTCTGTGTGGCCATCACCCACATTGGCCTTCCCTGTGCCAGCTCCAAGGCCAGGCTACTGCTGCAGAGAATGCAGGCCACTGAAGCTGTATGGCATGATCAGCACTGACAGGGAAGCAAAGGAGAAGACAGAGGGGCACCTTTCTGGCCTGAAAGCCCTCTCAGCGACCCAGCCCCATCCCTCGGGCCCTGCAATGGGTGGCTCACAAGCCAAGGTGGGTCATGGAGAGGCTGACTGCAGCCCTGAGCACAGTGCCTAGGAGAACTCGGGTTCCTAGCCGCTGATGAGTGCAGGAAGTCTGAGTCACTGTGGCCAGACCATTTATGGGGCTCCAGGGAACAGCCACTCATAAGAGGGACCCGTCTTGTGGGAATGACAAAAGTCCACCCAACAGGCCAAGTCCGTGGCTACGCGAGGCCCCTTTTAGGTGAGTGAGGTACCCTTCCTTTGGGTGAGTGAGGATTCCCTTCTTATGCACCCTGGGTCGCTCTCCTGTAGGCACATGTGCTGCTGAGACTAGTTTTTAAAGGGCCACCGTTTCCTTAGATGAGCTGAATGCTCTGAAAGGTATATTAAGTATTTAAATGGTCACCACCTTTTCCCCTAGTTGAAAACAAAAGCAGTGGAATTCTCTGCTTGTCTGCAGTCTGGAAGAGCTCAGCTCCAGCAGGTTGCCTGATGGGAAGGGCATGGGGTAAGTCAGTGCTTCTGAGCCAGGCAGGCACAGGTCTGTACTCCCAGAACCGAGGGGGGCTGAGGCAGGAGGATATCAAGTTCAAGACCTGCCCAGAGCCAGGGAGCTAGCTCAGTAGAATAAGCGCTTGCCTGGCAAGTGCAGGGTCCTGAGTTCATCTCTGGTACCTAAAAAAAAAAGCCCTGCCCAAACAACTTAGCAATTTAGCGAGATCCAATCTGAAGATAAAAATAAAAAGGGTTTGGGATGTGGCTCAGTGGTAAGTGCCCTTGGGTTTGATATGTAGTACTGTCCCCCTTCCCCCCGCCATCATTGATTCTTCCAAATTTTATTATGAAAAAGTTTCAAAACCTATGGAAAAGTTAAGAAGAACTTAGTGTATTCAGCAATGTGTTCTACTTTCCATTACTTGAATTGAACTCCTCCAGAAGGTTGTTTTTTTTTTTTTTTTTGGTGGCTGCACATTGCCTCCAGCGCTGGTCTGGATTGCCTTGAGTATGCGGGAGTTGAACCACGGATCCCAGAGACTGACTGCTTTGTTTAAGCAGGCACTCAAACAACTGAGCTAGTGGGCGGGCCCCCCTTCCAGAAGTATTTGAAAGTAAATCTTAGACATTACAAAACATTACCATATACTTTGTTTTGTTTTTTTTTTACCATATACTTTGAAGAAAAAGAGTATTTCCTTATTGGGATTGGGTTAGAATCCTCACCAGCAAAGCCTTGAGCTTTCTGGTTGAGTAGCCTTAATGTACTTCCAGCAGCCTCTACCCTCTTTTTCTTTTTAAAGACATTTTGTTTTTTGAAGAGAGTATGCTGGCACGTGATTGATTGATTGATTGATTGATTGAACTGGGAATTAAACGCATGACCTTGCGCTTGCTTGCCAGGCAGGCACAGTAGGCTGGCACTTTATAGGATATTCTTTACAAGATGTTTCCTTATGGTGTCATTCAATTTGCTCTTTTATCCCTTCTATTTCCTATAAATGAGAAATTTGGTCTCTAGGTTTGACTCCGTAAAGTTAAAGTTGTCTAGCATGAACACCTTGTAGGTGAGTCCGTGTGTATCACATTGCCTCAAAACACAAGTCAGATCAGTACTCTAATACTTTGGGACACTGAAGATTGTATGTTGAGCCCCACCTAGGTAAGTTAGAAACTTAGAGAGACCCTGTCTCAAAATTAAGAAATAACAAAATAAAAGTATAGTGTTCAATCCTCACTATCAAAAACATGAGGTCAGTAATGCTAATGTGTTTCTAAATGTTGAGGTTGGCATAAGGTGGTGGCTGTGTACTTGCCTTTTAAAGAAAGTATCAGAAACCTGCAGAAGCAGTTGTCCCTACCACCCTTCACCTGCCAGATCAGTATCCTTGGCAGCCTGAATTTAGCCTTATTCCAGATGCAGAAGGGCAGCTCCTTCCAGTTCTCTTTCTACGTAAGAGCTCCTTCCCTTTGTGAAAGTTTTCTTATCAGTGGACATAAGCTCCAGGTCCACCTTACAACACAGGGCAAGCCTTAGTAACTTCCCTTCAATAAACACTGTTTTCAGAGTAAGGAATTGTTCTGAGAGTCACTTCCAGCAGTGCAAATAATTCATATATTTATTCATATTCTCTCTGTGTCTCTCTCTGTCTCTGTCTCTCTCTCTCTCTCTCTATATCTCTCTCTCTCTCTCTCTGTCTCTGTCTCTGTCTCTGTCTGTCTCTCTCTCCCTCTCTTCTCCCTCTCTTCTCCCTCTCTCCTCAGAAGGTTACTATGGATTCAGTATTTTTCAATTCTTATTGTTCAGATGGTCCTGAATCTGGTCCTGAGAGCAGTCGGATCTGCTACCTGTGACTCCGTCTTGCTGAGCAAGTCCTTATTTTCTAGCACGGCAGGGTATGCAGCAGCCCAGTGCCTGCCTCTCACCGACTGTAGTTCTCGCTGTTTCTGGGCCATTGGGTCTATGAAGAAGTGACTTGCTGTCTGCACTGTGTCTACTGGACAACGAGCAAGTTCAAGGAATGAAAACTGTTGAAGAAAGCATCCCTCTCATATTAATCCATTGTTTTTTATTTCTTTATTTCAGAAAAAAAAGGCTGCCCTGGATGAGGTAAGCAAGGTTAATTTCACCAATTTCAAAATCTCTTGTTTTGACTCTAGAGTAAAGAAATTGTTGGCATATTTAGAAATGACTTTCAAGAAATCAAAGCAAAGGGCTGGCAAGATAGTTCAGCAGACTAAGCTCCTGCTTAGACAAGTGCAGGGACTGGGATTTGATTCCCCGGTACCACATGCTGTGCTGGCCCCTTCCCCAGGTGTGCTGAGTTGGCTACCAAGACTGGGCATACTGGTGCACCCCTGCAATCCCGGTGCTGGGGAGGCTGAAAATAGGAAGATCACTAAAGTCCAAGCTGTGTAGTGAGACCCTGTACCAAATACATAAAAAAAAGAATTAAAAATTCTTTTTTAGAGAATAGTGTGTCTGGTCCTTTCACTGGATCGTCACTTCAGAGCACCCTCCTGAGTGTCCCATGCCCTGGGCTTGCTTCAAGCATGTACAAATGACATTTTATTATCAGTGGTACTGCTGTCTCCCCTGGGCAGGTATAGGCTCCCTACAGGCCAGGACTATCTCTCTTCATACTGAGCTCCTAGTTCCTAGAATAGTGCCTGGCCTATGGTGTGATTCAGTGTGTGGCATCTGGGGATTTAACTTGGAGCCTTCGTGCAGAGCTATAGCCCCAACCCTTTCTTTTGTTTGTCATTTTGAGACCATGTCTTGCCAAGTTGCTCAGGCTGGGCTGGAACGTGAGGCTCTTCTGCCTCAGCCTCACTCAGGGCTGGAGTAAGTGTGTGTGCCACCACTACATCTGGGCAGCGTTTCCTAATGAATAAGTGAAAACAGTGTGGGCTGCGCTGGGGCGCTAACTAACCAGACAGCACACACTCTCCTCAGGCTGCTTTTTCTTTCCCAATCCCTCTCCCTCAGCTTCAGATTCTACTTCTCTGAAGTAAAGGTGATACTAAGGCTTCCTTCTTTCCTTTCCTTTCCCTTCCCTTCCTTTCCTTTCCTTCCCTTCTTTCCTTCCTTCTTCCCTCCCTCCTTTTTCTTTCCTTCTATTTCATTTCTTCCTTTTTCTTTTTTCATTTCTTCCTTTTTTTTTTTTTTTTTTCATTTCTTCCTTTTGAGATAGGGTCTTGCTAAGTAGTTCAGGCTACCTTGAACTTACTATGTGACTCAGGGAGGTCTCAGACTTGGTAATCCTTCTGCCTCAGCCTTCCCACAGCTGGGATTTCAGGCATGCGTCACCAGGGCCCCTTCATAGGGCTGAGTCTGAGTGTGCCCAACTGAGGCATGAAGGATGCTTCCAGGCAGCTCTGGATGGTTTAATTTCAGCTTCCACAGTACCTGTGCTGCAGACCTCCCAGGTTAGGCTAAGTGTGGCCTTGGGCCCACTCTGGGCTCTCATCCCTATAACTGGTATCTCACCTTTGCTGTGTTTCTTATCCTGTGTGGATGACATTTCTTTCACCTTGCCACCAAGAAAAACCTTTTCTAGCAGCTACTACCATACTGCCTATACCTCAGAATCCAATCACAGCTGGGCTCAGTGTGCTTGCCTTTCTCCTAAAGAGTTTGCAACTGGGAAGTCCTCCCCAGGTGTAATGGTTCTAACTTGGGTAACAGGCAGTATCATTCAATAAGGGAGTGCTGCAAGCTGGGCCTGTGCTTCACTCCTGTGACCCAGCATTCTGAGAGACTGAGGCAAGAGGATCGATCATAAATTCTAGGCCAGCCTGGGCAATTTAGTGGAACCCTGCCTCAAAAGATTAGAAGTAGGCCGAAAGCATGGCAGAAGCTGAGGCAAGAGGACTGCCATGGAGGCCAGCTGAACTACAGAAGTCCCTCACTTAGCGTGGAGTATACATTCCAGACGTTCCCGCAATCGAGAAGTGAGTAGCGGTGAAGTAGCGGTGTTATATTTTAGTAATATATATATATATATATATATATATACATATTTTAAGGCTTTATAAACCCTTCCCACGCTCTTATGAACCTTTCCTGCACTTTAAAAAATACTTCCAATATTCTTTATTTTTTTATTTTTATTTTTATTTTTCAAAGTTTTATTGATAAACAGATAGCAATGAGACAGTTTCAAATCAAATCGGAAGTACAGTTTCAACAAATAATACACTGCATATATTCTTCTTAGTGAATACTTCCAATATTCTTAATCATTTTCTAAACTTGTAAACCTACGTAATTTTAACAATATATGTATACTGTATGGTACTACAAAATCCCACAATATAGCAAAAAATCTGCAATAAATAATTTTGATTAATGTATATTTTAAAAAATATTTTCTTTATTTGGTATAGGGTTTTGCTACACAGCTCAGATGTAGTGATCCTCCTGTCTGAGCCTCCCCAGCGCTGAGATTACAGGTGTGCACCACCATGTCCTGTTTTGGTGGCCAGCACAGCGCACTCAGGGGCAGGGCTGGCAAGGCATGTGGCACCAGGGATCGAACCTGGGTCCTTGCACTTAGACCTCCAAGCTGTTTCCCCAGCCCCTTGACTAATATTTTTTGAAAACCTGCTGAAGTCAAACTGCAACATAGCAAGATCCTATTACCAATCAGGGTGGGGAGAAGGGGAAGGGAGAGGAGGAAGGAAGGGAGAAAGGAAGAAAGAGAAAGTGACTGGGAATATAGCTCAGGGCAAACCCCCTGGGTTCAATCCTTAGTTCCATAAAAGAATAATAATAATAATAATAATTACTGCTTCTGCTCAAATACAGAGCATCAGTTTTAGACTCTATGGAGTTTCCTTGCACATTTCTTAAGACATCTCTTAAGAAAAGCATCTAAGAGGCCAAGGAGGCTAGCTTAGCAATGTAAGTTCCTGCCTGGAAAGCACAAGGTCCTGAATTCAATCCACCATACCGGGTCATAGAGATGACTCAGTGGAGTAAGTGCTTCCCTGGCAAGCGCAAGGGCCTGAGTTCAATCCCTGGTTCCGCCAAAAAAAACCCACAGTACCAAAAAAATAAAAGCATCTAAGATTAAGGTCATAAAATAAATGATTCCCTTAAAGATCTTGCTGTATTATTCATGATTTTTGAAGCTGCATATGATGGAAAGTAGATGAAACAGAATAAACAACCCCAACATAAAACACATCAGTCCTCGGTAGTGTCCCAGATTTTCTGATCAAGAAGATAATGGGGCCAAAGAGGAAATTGATCGATGACGTGGAATGTGCCTAAGGAGAGTCACATGAGGAGAAGACACTCTCAGGCTTTCACAGAGAGCACATTGGCCAAGCAATGGCCGTGACTCATCCACATGGCTGCACTGACAAAGGTTCTACAATCTGAGGTACAGGATCTCAGGATAAATCCTGAGGGCATTTCACTGACCTTCTCAAACCAAAAAGCTACAACTCTTGTTGCATAGGTTCTGCTTTACCTTGGTCTTAACCATCCAGTAGAAAAGTATGAAGATGAAATATAGGAAGTAAAGCCATGTTGTTATGTTGAGCTGTGGGGGACTCACGTCAATAATTTCTGACATTGCCAATTAAACAGAAGACCTAATGCTATTATGGGCTTCTGTACTCTTTTAGAATATTTTGCTGAGTTTACACACCTATAATATTCAACAACGGAACTTAAAAAAAAATTGGGGTATAACTATGAATGTCCATTTTGTATCTGTGTATTCAAAGTGGTTGGGATAGATATATAGTTGCATTCTCTTAATGAATAGAATGATTTTTTCTAATGGTGTTTGTAAGTAGGATCACAAGTCTGCATCTTGTACAGCAATTAACCACTAAGAAGAATATATGCAGTGTATTATTTGTTGAAACTGTACTTTCGATTTGATTTGAAACTGTCTCATTGCTATATGTTTATCAATAAAACTTTGAAAAGAAAAATAAATAAATAAATAAATACTAATAATAAAAGAAAAAAAAAACACATCAGTGTGTTGGGCCAGCAAGATAGCTCAGTGGTCTAAGGCACTGGCTTAGGCAAGCTTAGGCAAGCACATAGGGACTGCGGTTCAATCCCCAGCACCACATGCCGTACCAGCCCCATCCCCAGGGTGGGCTGAGCTGGCCACAAAAGTAAACAAACAGACAAAAATAAATAAATAAACACATCAGTGTGTAAGTGTGAGCTTATATTAGCAACCCGATAATGTAATTATGTTTGGCAGCTGATTCGTTCCCATCCCAAGAACCTGCTTGTTGGGCTTCAGGAATCTGCCTTTTTCTGTGGTGTGGCCTGGTACCTTTCATGGTGGGAACAGAGAATGTTCTCTGGGATGCTGCTGCTAATGGCTGTGCAATGGGCTGGAAGGGTTTTCCCTGCCCACGGTTTCCCTCTGCACTGTCCCTCAGTCTCTGCCTAGCATCTTCCAGGGAAGTTAACAGTCATCTCCCTCTCCTTCCTTTCCTGCCAGGTGGCTGTCGTGCTCCAGGCAGCTTTCAGGGGACATCTAACACGAGCCAAGCTGTTATCAAGCAAAACACGTGGTCCAGAACTGCCCGACCAGCCAAGCTGTGCAGACCAGGTACCCACTCAGGGCTGCACATGAACCTCACTGTCTGTGTTCCATGGCTGCCTCTCTAAGCTTCACCCACCAGGACGAGCCCAGGGCCTATAGTCTTCCTGCTTCTGCTGCAGGAAGGCTGAGCTTAGCCTCAGAGCCAGATTGCTTTGAGGTGTAGAGAGTCAAACAGCATGTATGTCTCATGGTGAAGACAAGCTGAAAGCTGATAAAGACTGGCATTGCTAGCCAGGGAGATAGCTCAGTGGAATAAGTGCTTGGCCTGGCAAGCACAAGGTCCTGAGTTTGATCCCTGATACCACCAAAAAAAAAAAAAAAAAAAAATGGGCATTACCACGTAGGTGCTGTCCTCAGAAAATCAGATGAGGTGGTTGAGAATCTCAAGTATGCCAGACATGGTGACCCCTGCCTATAATCATAGCACTCAAGGAGACTGGGGCAGGAGGATTGCAAGTTTGAGTCCAGCCTGAGCAATTTAGCAGTTTATTGAGATTCTCATCTCAAAAATGGCTGGAGATCTAGCTCAGTGTGAAGGCCTTCAATTCAATCCCCCTTTCTGCAACAAACAAAAACCAGAAAACATCTCCAGGGTTTAAAAAACAAGAGCTACTGGGAATGGGGCCCACACCTGTAATCTGCCTGAGACAGGAGGATTGCCACAGGTGCAAGGCCAGCCTGGGCCACACACTGAGTTCAAGCCAACCTGAACTACAAAACAAGATCCTCTCTCAAGGGATGGGGAGATAGGGCCTTCCTGGCAAGCGCAAGGTCCTGAGTTTGATCCCTGGTACTGTATGCTATGCTGGCCCCAAAACCGGAGATGGTGGTGCATGCCTGTAATCCCAGCACTAGGGAGGCTGAGACAGGAGGATCACTAGGAGTGTGAACTGCGTAAAGAAACTCTGGATCAAAAAATTTTAAATTTTAAAAAATAAACAAAAGATCCTGTCTCAAAACAAAATATAAAACCTAAGAGCCTCTAGGCAGGAGGTTGCTAACTCTGCAGAAGTGATGAGGTGCACCTGAAAGGCAGGGGCTTGCCCTGGCCCTTGGTGGCCTACAGGAGACGCTGTGGGCCATAGGGTCCCCACACAGTTCTCTCCCCTTGTCCTCCTGCCACAGAGCTCCCCCATGCCGCGTGTCCTAAGTCCTGTCACCCAGTCCGTGGGCAGCCCAGAGCAGGAGGAAGCCATCACCATCATCCAGTCTGTCCTCCGGGGGCACATGGCCAGAGCCAGGCACAGGTGAGTGTCACGCTCACCTCTTGCCACTCTGCACTGTCTCAGTCTGCCTGGCAGAAAGTGTCAGCCACCTGTCCCGTTGTTTAGTTCTCTCTGAGGAGAGCCAGGCCAAATTGGAGCTGTGGTCCTTACTCCACCTGACATGAGACAGACACACAGCCGTGTGGGCCATGACCATGTCTACAGGGAACTAATGGTAGGTTACAGGAACACAGCTAAGCCACTTATAAAAACTTCATGACCCAACCACAGCATATGCCTCAAAGGAATGGACAGAAGACATTTGCAAGGCCCTCCAGGGCCCTCCTGCCTTGGGGCCCTGGGCTTCTTAGTGAGCCAGCAGGCCTGCAGCTTCTGTACTCTGCCACCAGATTAGCTGAAGCGTTCTCTTTTCCAGCACCACGAGCAGAACCACTGGCACCATGTCCTGGAGAGCAGCTGCAGCCACACCGCCTGAAACCTCCCCACCCTGCCTCGAAGCTTCTGCCGGTAATTTCATGCACTTGATTCTCACACGAGGAGCAGCTGGGCCTCTAATGGTTAGGCCATGCAAGGGCCTGACACACACTTTTCAGGCCACTTGGGGCCATGCAAGGATGCAAGGGAGGTTTGTCCCAGTGTAGCTGCCCCCAAACCAAGCCATACCAGAAAGACCCCTCAGCCTAGCTTCCTCTCTTGGCTCGGGGACTGGGGCTCCCTCAGCTTACAGACAACCCTGCTGACCATAGTTCCCCATAAGCCACCCACGAGCTGCATCTGGAGCTAGCAGATTCCCTCCTTTGACCCAGTGTTTGTCTATTTAAGTGAAACATTGATTCTGTGCTTCTGCAAAGCCAGAAAGCACTGAGAGACTTGATCCCTTGGGCCAGGGATGCAGCCCTGGCTGTGAGCTCCCATCCTGCCTGCACCTGCATGGAAGGTGCTCCCACAGGCTGCCCTTCCCTGGTGTCTCCTCTCACTCAGGAGTTGCTTTCCTTGCACCCCTGGTGAATGCACTTTAGAGTCCTGCCTCACCCAAGCACAAGCCCTTCCAGCAACCACTGCTGGCTGTGATGTCACCACAGAGCTAAGTCTGAGGCACAATGCAGGGGAGCCTGGGGACAGTCACTAGAGAAATGCAGTCAAGGTTGACTTGTGCTTGTGGTCCCAGGTCATCCGACACCCTCCACAGGGACATTTCGTAGGTCTCCAGGGATCCAGGGAAGGACAGGCAGGGGTAGAGAAGAACACTTTGCTGTCAAATAGAAACATTGGGGTGAGTGACAGGTGGGTGACAGTATGAGACTGACAAAATGCTTTATGCACAGTGGGAGCCCAATTTGCATGTCCCTTCAGGTAAGGAGGACAGCGAAGCCAGTGATGGGATGGCTGCAGAGGACGAGCCAGGGAATCCAGCCAGCCTGCAGTCCCATTCCGGTAAGTGTAGGGGCCGACAGTGGCAGAGATGTCACTTACCAAGTGATCACCCTTTTTCACCATTCACAGAAGAGTCAAACATCGATTGTAAGATGACAAACCCTGACTCTGAAGCTGGCCAGACCTCATGGCCTGCACAGCCCTGAGAATGGCAGTCTCTCTGGGTGGGCACCAGGAGCCACAGACCCTCCTCAACCTAGGAGTTTCACACATCTAAAATTGCATCCTGGGGGCCTGCCCCTTAGCTCAGTTCTTTAAGTGGCTGCTTCAACAAAGCAGTCAGGCACAGGTTGCTGTGGTTCCATCCCCACAACTCAAGCCAGCCAAACCTGCCCTGAAGGCATTCAGAGCAAAAAATAAATTAATTAAATAAAATCGCATCCTACCCACCTCAACCGTTTTTCCTAGCTAGAAACTTTGTCAGAGCTAGAAACTTTGGACTTTGATATTCTCCCCAAAGTCTTCATCTGCAAACCTCAAGGAAAAAGATCAGCCACTCCATGGTTTCGAGGAAAAATGTGCAGATACCAAAGCCTGAAAAGCTAGCAGCTGCCATAACCTCCAGCCTAGAGGGCTCTAACTTGTTCTCCAAAAAATCTGCGTTGATTCCTCCATACCCGATGTCGGATAACCTTCTTGTTTGATCAGGACTACAGTGTCTGTCTATGTCGCCTTTTCTTCTCTTGCTAAATGTGACTTTGAAGCAACAGATTCAGCCACCCGTCCACACCTGGTGGGACAGAGATGCTCTGGGCATCAGCATGTGTCAACATGAAGTCACATGTCTACATGAAACATGTCAGCCAAGCTCTTATTTGAGCTGGTTGTGGTTTTAAAATGAAAATAATCTTGAAAACATTTTTAATTTCTGAGGTTCCACTTTCATAATAATTTTCTTAAAAGTTACAGAGAAAAAGCTGATGCAGCTATCTCATCTGCTGTGTGGCCGAATTATAATTTCCTTCCCTGTTCAGAGCTCAGGTGGGGGAGCTGGGTTTGCTCAAAAGCTGTGGGGAAGCTGCTGTGCATTCACTGCCCTTCCTCAGGCTCTCACCAAGCCCAGTGGGGCCACTGGGGCTACTGCCCCCTTCGGGCTGGGGGCGGCACCTTACTCTGGTGTGAGGAAGGTAAGTTGGGTGTGTGAGTGCAGGCCTGTAATCCTAGCACTCAGAGGCTGAAGCAGGAAGATGGCAAATTTGAGCCTATCCTGTAGTACAACCCTATCTCAAAAAATAAGGGCTGGGATGTAGCTCAGGGCAAAAGCCCTAGGTTCAATCCCCAGAGCTTGGAAAAAAAAAAAAAAAAAAGAGAGAGAGAAAGAAAAGAAAAGAAGAAGAAAATAGTGGGCACAGGAGAAGCTTAGCATATTTGGTGCCTGGGAGCCACTGTGCCTGGTCCTGCCTCCTTGCCTTTCCTGGCACACAGCCTTGGAGCCCCACCTCTTGCCAGGCCTGGCCCTGACACCACGGCTGCTGGTCTTGTCTACACTAACGCCCACTGCAGACCCAAGTCCAGATTCCTTTCCCAGTTGTTTTGATTTCAGGAAATAGCCAAACTATTGTCAGCTGGGAGATCTGCGAGGGCTTTCTGGCAGGGTGCATAACACTAGCTTTGATGGCGTGTGTCCATGCTGCCAGCCCTGACCAACATCTCTGATTTATTTCAGCAGAGCCCTGTCTCCCAGAGCTGCATCCCACAGGGCCACAGTCTGTGGATGATGTCTACTCCGATGACTCTGATGACGTTGTCATCATGCCATCTCTGCCCATGAAGAAGAACCCCTCCCCATTCTAGCCCCCGATCATCGTCTGCATGTGATGATGGTCACCAGGGTGAAGGGACAAAGCTCAAGAGGACAAGACCAAAACTGGGACCCTCGTGTCTCTTGTGGGGGAAGAACTATCCCTCCTAAACACCTTGGCTTTGCTTTGTTGTCCCCTGAGGAATCCTGGTGACCTTATTTCACCCTCCTGGAGAGGCCACTCTCTTGCATCACTCTATCTCCAGCCCATGTGGTGGCTTTCAGGGACAACAAGCACATCTGGCACAACCCAGGGACACCCACAGAGCTCTACACCACATGCTCTTCCAGCGGTGTACCACTTGACCTTGACCCTTGAGGAGCTGTCTTTTTCAGGAGCCAGCAGGACACCACTTCTCCTTACTCTGTGACACCATAGCCATCCCAGGCCTGGCCTCACCCGCTGGCCTGGCAGAAGCACAGTGTCTCCACAACTGCCCTTCCTGAGAAGGGTGGGCTTGGTCACTGGAAGGGCAGACACTACAAGGCCTGGGCAGTGACCACAGAGCAGCAGCACACAGTTTCCTGGGCCAGGGCAGGTGTCATAGCCACTGGGGTCAACTTGATGGGGATGGGAGCTGGGCCAGGAAGCAAACCAAAGTCTCAGGGTGGGGCTGGGTTCCACTGTGGGGCTAGGGACAGCTCTGCCACACTTGATGTGCAGAGGCCCCCGTGGGGCATGCTGGCCCCTTCAGCAATGATGCCTTCAGGCTATGACTGTGGTGCTCCTCTGAGGACCCCACAGCTTTGAATTCTCCCTTGTTCAGGCATTAGATAAGCCTCACATGGGTCAGAATGAAAGGCTTTGGCTCAGACAGGGCTTCAAGGGTGTCCAGGTGGCCTCTGTAGAATCCCTGTAGGTGGCCAGCCTTAGCTTCAGCACGTGGAATGCAGTGCTTCTCCCCAGTATCAGCCTTTGTCTAAGGAGAGAGCTTATATTAGAAAGCTGCAGTGAGCCACAGGGCTCTGTTCCTTAAGGGACAGCTTAACCCCTCTGAAGCGCCTTGCCCCAGAGCACTGCTAAGCCTTTTCACCACATAGCCTTCTCTGTGTAGCTTGGAGTGGTGCAAGTTGGCCACAGGCTGCTGCCCCACTCTCTCGCCACCTTGCCCAATGTTGGGTAGAATAACTGTAGGTCCCTGGCTGCTTGATTTTCTATATTGGGTCTGGGCCACACATCAGTTTTCTGCTGTCCACTGAAGTGATTGGCTTCTGGCTGATGGGGGCCCTCTGTAGGCCCGCCTTCCTTTCACCCCTCATGTCTGTTCTCTGATCCACGCCATCCTTCAGAGCTTCAGGACCACCCACTGAAATGCAAGAGGGTGACACAGGTAGCCCGCTTGCACATTAGCCAGAGTGGGTCCTCGGTTTGGTGTCTCAGCTGCTAGCAAAAGACATTTCCGTGTTACAGTTTGCCCCTCAGAACTGTGGGATTGAGGGAGGATGGGGTGGGGGACATTCCTGCTTCAGGCCAGGCAAACAAGTCTGCTTCAGGAGAGGCTACAGGGAACAAAGCAGGGACCCCAGCTTCAGCAATATCTGCACATGAAGACCATCCTGTGCACAAGACCTTCAGGGGCCTGACCAATAGGCAGAGCTAAGGACAAGATCCATACTGTGCCCTGGACTTGAGTTTTCCAAGAAAATGCCCTCAAATTGTAAATATGTACATTGTTCTCCCTGCCTATTTTGGCAGGACATTGCTAATCTATTAAAAGCAAACATTCTGTCCTTAAGCTACCTCCATAAATGACAGTCCTGCAACAGTGTTTAGCTGATGTGCAGGGCGGGTCCCTCAGGGCCTTCTGCTGGGGCACATGTCTGGCTGCTTCCCACAAAGCAACAGGTGCCCAGGCCTGGGGCCCAGGGGTCTAGTGCATGTGGCCATGAGGCTGGAAATGCTTCAGCAGAAGGGGCCCAGGACGGCCTTCAACTTGATCTTCCATATAGGTGCGACTCAGTAAGATAGGCCCCTCTTCCTGGCTTGGTCTGGGAGATGCACCCCAACACCAGGCCTGGCCCACTGGGGCCATGGGTGATGCCAGACCAGGCCTGCTGGTGCTGTGGGTGGCCTTGGAAGGTAGCAAGGCAGGCATCCCCAGGGAGACCAGAAGGGGCAGGGACCTCAACTTCACAAGCTAAGTGGGAAAGCAGGCCCAGGTGCATGCAGCTCTGGTGGGCGTATTGAGTGTCGCGCGTTACTCTGCCCTTATTTCACGCAACACCTCCACATCACCTTGAATTTAAAGAACAGTTAAGAAAATTTCCCAAACTTGTAAGTAGTGCAACTTTGTTGTTTTTGTGGTACTGGGGGTTAAATGTAGGACCTGTACACTGAACTACATCTCTACCCCGTCTTTATTTTTTATATAAGACAGGGGCTCAGTTCTCCAGGTAGGGCCTGAACTTGTCATCCTCCTGCCCACCACACTTGCCTCATGTCAGGCCCTTTAAACAAGTACTAACAAAGCTGCGCTGCATGGCAGAAACCAGACCTGTAGTCCTCATAGTGGCAGCTTGGACCTCTAGGAGAGCTGGTGGCCAGCCACCTGTGTCCCGACCTGGAACTGTGCTGCCTGAAGGTCCTGACGAGTTCTCCATGCCCCAAGATGCTCAGGAGGTTGGCTGGCTCAGGACCCAGCTCCTGCAGCTCTCCAAGACAGGGAAGGAGCAGGATGGACTGTTAGGTCTCTTCTGAAGAGGCTAGGTGTTTGCAAAGATGCACCCAGGCAGGCCTGTGGCCCTCTGCAGCCCTTGGGCTACCAGATGCAGCTGAGGAGGAAGTGCAGGGAGGGGGCTGGACAGCCAGGCGAGCCTTGAAACAAACAAAAAAAAAACCAGAAGTGAGTGTGTGTGCGTGGGCCACAAACCCTATGTGGGGTGGTTTCCAGGAGAGCTCTGTAGCAAGTTCCTGCATAGGGCGTGATCCAAGAGGGCTTGAGTGGTGTCCACAGAGAAGAGGGGCCAAAGGAAACCACCAAAGCCACCATTCCCCCAGGCTCTGGGTGGATGACCTGAGCATAAGATTAGTGGGTAGAGCCAGCTAGGGCTAAATTCCCAGGGCCCGGTGCCTGGTGCTTGGACAAAATAGCTTGATATATTGGGGGCTTTTTGTGAGTTGGTTCAGCTGTGTTAGAGGGACTCTGGGTGAATGACCCTGTCTGCTTGTGCTGGCTGGGTTCTGTCTGATGAATGTCTATTTTTGTCTCCTGACAAGGGAAATGAGGACTGCTCACAATCCCTGGGATGAACTAAAACCTTCCCTTCACAAAGACCAGTAGCCTTATTAAAGACAGCCCAAGCAGCACAGATCTACCGAGATCAGAACAGCAGAGTTTTGCTTTACTTTAAGGCTATAAATATCTTCTATGGAAAGCACTATAACCTTTAAGATCTAAATAAAAATTCCATTATAACCTGTCTTAATTGCAAATTCCTCCTCGGATGTAGGAAGCTGTGTTCATTCTCATGTGGTTCAGAGAATCACAGAGGACCAGAGAGTTGATCCAAACCCTGCCGTGGGCCTGACTTGGCCATGTCTCAAGGCTCCCATTTCCCTAAGTTCCCAGGGGTCTCCTGGCAGAGCCAGCGCTGTACTGGCCACCTGTTGGGTGCAAACTAGGCCTGGCACAGGAATGTGAAACTCTCAAGATGGCTCAAGAGGCCAGGTATGGTGGTGCACACCTATACTCTTAGCACTCGGGGAGGCTGAGGCAGGAGGATTACGAGTTCCAGTCTAGCCTGGGCAACTAGTGACTTAGTAAGACCCTGTTTCAAAACTTTAAATGGGTGGACATGTAACTCTGTGAGGATCCTGGGTTCAATCCCTAACACTGGGGGCAGTGGGGAGGGGAGGTAGGGTGGGTTGTTCAGTTGGCTTTTGGCATTTTATATTTCCATCTTGCACTGAATTCACATTCATATTTTGAAGAAACAGAACTCTCATTTCTGTGCCACTTGTTCCCAGCCTTTGTAAAGGCCAAGTTGTCTTGCAGGTATTTGGATCATCTGTTAGTCTTTCGTTTCCATGACTGCCAGGTGTGCTCTTGGCTCTCTTCCCCTGACCAGTCTGGTATAGGAACCCCGTTCCTGGGGCCTCAAGCATCTTACTTCAGCCCTAGCATGCATGGAGGCTCTCTGCCACGTCATAACACTGCATCCCCTGAATTTCTATTCCTTAGATATGAGAGAGCACTTGAGCATCAAGCAACAGAAATGTGTGCACATGAGGGAGTTTTGCCAACTGCTGTTTAATTTTTGTTTCAGGAATAGGAATAATTAGGAATGAAACAGCAATGACGAGAGGAGAGATTGGGGGAAAAGGGGAAGGAAGTGGGGAGGGGAAGACGGGAAACAGGAGCTGGTATCTGGGTGCCCAGACCAGGTGCCCAGCGGCTGACCTCCCCAAGTCCTTACCTCCCACTGACCTTGGCTGGCTTAAAGCCGGATAGTGACTCCTACGTCAGCTATGAGGCCCCATCACCCATAGGCCCAATGCAAACGGATCAGGTGGGAACTTCTCACAGAGGAGCCAGCAGGGCCTGGAGGGGCTGTGAGAACAGATGCTTCACCCCAGCCACAAGCCCGCAGGTACCTCAGACAAGGGCTGTGATTCTCCTCGAGGGTCAGGCTGAGAAACACAACAAAGATGGCCTCTGGGAACTTCTCTGCTAGAGCTGCAGGAAAGAAATAGAGAGGTGAGGTCTACCCAGGGGGCTTGGGGCTGGGATCCAAGTAAAAGGTAAAGATATGAATGTCCCAACCCCTTCACACCGGAACCCTGCCCACACTCCCACTGGTGGAGGGGGGAGGGTCTAGTTTAGTCTGGTTGTAGCATGCCTTTTTTTCTTTTTGCTTCTGCTTTTCCGTCCTGGAAATTGAAACCAGGGCCTTCACACTGAGCCACATGCCCAGCTTTTTTTTTTTTTTTTTTTTTAATTTTGAGACTGGGTCTCAATAAACCATTATGTTGTCCAGATTAGGCTTGAACCTACAGTCCTGCCTCAGCCTCTCTCCAACTGCTTGTACCACCCATCTGGATGATAATGCTTTGAATACTGTGATATACTCCTAATTCCTGCCAAAACAGTGTTTTAAAATGACATTTTTCCAAGTGCTAAGGGACACAGAATAAAGAATGTGATGCCCCTGTGGTTCCTTTGGGCACTGCTGTTGGATTTGGAATCTGAGCAACAAGGATGGGAACTGGTTGGACTTTCTGCGTGGGCTCCAACTAATGGCCCTTGGCAAGCACCTTCAGCCCTGAGGGCGACCCTATTAGCGGGCACCTGCCAAGCAGCCTGGGCGAGGTTTCCATGGTGCCTTGCTTTTCCTGAATGAGGAGACAGGGTGCCCCTGAGCTACTTGCTAATTAAGCCCTGAACAGCCGGGATTCAAAGGAAGGGTCCCTGCGCCAAGGCTCTGGGGCCTCCTTCGTGGGCCCAGCCTGGGGGCTTTCTTCCTCCCAGGCCTTCCCTTCCCAGGCCCCACTTCCAAGGGATGAAAGCAGAGAGGCTGTGTGGGCGGGGAGGGGGCACAGCTCGCAGAAACCACACAAAAGGCTGCTCCGGGCTCCCAGCAGCCTCCCTGCTCTTGCCTCCCATCCCGCCTTCCTCCCTGCATGGCTTCTGCTCCAGGCCTCGCAGCTGCCCCTGGTTTTCTGCTGTTTTTCCCTCCTGATCATTTGCCTCTCTGCTTTTTGGATTTTCCTCCTACCCTTGGCACTTAGTCCCTTCCTGATCTATTAATGGGGTGTCCCCAGGTTCTGTCTCCAACACCCTAAACCATCCCTCTAAATATCTGCTGGAGGGCCAGCGAGATAGCTCAATGGACTAGGCGCCTGCCTAGGTAAGTGCAGGGACCTCAGTTCGATCCCCTGCACTACAAGCCACACTGGCCCCATCCCTGGGCGCACTGAGGCTGCCACCAAGAGAGGTGTGGTGGTGCACGCCTGTGATCCCAGGCCTAGGGAGGCTGAAAACAGGAGGATCACTACAAGACCGAGCTGCATAGTGAAACCCTGTACCAAATACATTTTAAAAAATATATATCTGTTGGACATCAGTGCATACATCTTTTTTTTTTTTTTTTTTTTTTTTTTTTGCGGAACCGGGGATTGAACTCAGGCCCTTGCACTTGCCAGGGAAGCGCTTATTCCACTGAGCCATCTCCCCAGCCCAGTGCATACATCTTTGCATACCATGTCCCGGCTCTAACTCTTTGCCCCATCCAGTGAATGGCATCACAAGCCACACAGTGGTCCCCACCAGAGCCCTGAGGGTCACCCGCTTTTCCCCACCTCCCCAGCCTTCCCACAGCTGCTGGATCTCACAGGGACTTTCTCCCCAATAGCTTTCAACTCTGCTGCTACAATGCACAGCACGGTGGGAGCCCTGACCAGCCCCACCCCAGTTCTAATGCTGAGTGTGGCAACCTTTGACGACTGCTGTCTGCCTGGTCCTCCCTCCTCCCAAGGCCAACACCTCCAGCCTCGTCCTACCTCGGTGGCGTCCTCCGGCTCTAACTGCTTAGGCATACTCAACTGGCTCCTTCCCATTGGTCATTTTCTTTTCTAGAATAATACTTCTTTTTTTATATATTATTTTAAAAAGAAAACCACAGAGCCAGGTGCAGTGAAACATCCCTATAATTCCAGCACTTCTGGAGGCTGAGACAGGAAGACTGCATGATTTAGCCCAGGCTGGGGACCTTAGTAAGACTCTGCCTCACAACAAAAAATAAAAAGGGGGGCTGCCCAGACAGCTCAGCGGAGTAAAGAGCCTGCTTAGGCAGAACACAGCACCTGGGGTTCAATCCCTGGCATGCTGTGCTGGACCCACACCCAGGGCGCAATGAGATGGTGATTGAGACTGGGCGCATGGTGCGCACCTATAATCCCAGTGCCTGAGAGGCTGAAAACAGGAGAATCACAGGAGTCCCATCTATGTGGTGAGACCCTGTAAACCCTGTACTAAATACAAAATAAATAAATAATAAAAATAAAAAGGGCTGGGGATGTAGCTCATTGTGAAGGTCCTGGGTTCAATCCTCACCAAAAAGCAAACACAAACAAAAAAGGGGAAAGATCATCAGGCTCTCTTGGGGAGCCACTGTCTGGTTGAGGGAGGGGCTCTGGCCTCAGATCAGATGAAGAGAGACATTTTCCTACCTGACCTCAGGACAGAAAGTGCCTTCTTCAAGATCCCCAGGAGGTCAAGGTCAAGGTCCCTAGGAGCAGGGCCAGTAAGTTCTGTCCCCCTAGTCCAGAGCATCTCCAAACCTTCCTGCCTGTCTCCAGGAAGGAATCCTACCATGCTGTCCCCACAGGCGTCTCCTTGACTTCCCAGGGTCTCCGGACCAAGTCCAAAGTCCGCTAGGACCAGGAAGGCCCGGTCATCTCCCCAGGGTGCTGCTCCCTT